CGGTTTAAGCCGTCTCCACCTTCGATCGCGGTTTCTTTCGCTCGTACGCGCGAGTTCCGAACTCGTTTGCGTATTGCCAGCCTGGCTACGTGTCCGGCTGCTCGCAACGATATCGATGAACAGGCTCGGAGTAGCGTTTGGCTATTGACGAAGCCAAGGTGAGTCAAAGTTCCTGGATTTGCGAGCGGGGAGGGGGAGAGGCAGAAGAAAAGTATTCCTGATGGACAGTAATTGGAGCAAACGAGCGAAACGTTTGATTGCCCGAGGATTGATCGAGGTTCGCCTGCGTGGGAGTAATTTTCAATGTCGCGAGTCGTCCTCGTGAACACCGGCACGCGGCACTTTTTCCATCCGTTCGATGCCATAACGCGGGAACGTGGGAACATCTCTCGCACACGGATGCCTCGCAAGCGAAATTAATGAAATTCACGGCAGACACGTTCCGTTGGACCTTTAATCGCTGGCGAGGTTGTGCTCCTTGGATGGAAGCGATATTCGCTAAATATGTATTACGCCCGGCGTGATTAAATTACGAAACCGGTTTCTATTAAGTCGGCTGTTCGTCGCCGATGATCGTCCCTAGCGCGATAATCCAATTACCGTTCGCGGGAAACAACGCAAATTCCATTGTCCATTGAGCGATTTTTTTCCAAAGTGCTCCCGCGGGAGAACACTTGGAATCGCGTGTGCGCGCGCGAGCGAAAAATGCGCGAATTATTCAGACGATGGTGTGATACGCACCGTGTAATGATTCATGTGCCGATGCGCGTGATGTTGAGGCGACGTCGTCAGAAGCGGTTGCTGAGACGCTTGAGCCGCCTGGACCGCTTGTGCAGCCTGCGCCTGAGCGGCCTGCGCGGCCTGAAGCAGTTGCTGCGGCTGCATCGCGCTCAGAAGTTGCTGGCTGGCCGAGCTGTTGCTGAGAAGGTGCGGCAACGCGGCGGGACTCAGCCCCAATCCTGACGCCAAGCTGGGACTTGTTGGAACTGGCCCGCGCAGAACAGAAAACCCATGACCTGTTTTACATCTATTTCCCACTATTGCTCTTTTGCCTTTCATTTTAACTACCAAAGTAAGTGATCAAAGTGACCAGTTTATAATATCTTCTTTCTCTTTTTGTTGTTGTTGTTGTTGTTGTAGAAATTTCTTGCAAACACGAAACGAGATTTTTCGTTAAAATATACAAACGAAAGCTGGTGGCAAGTTACCACATAGCTCTTCTATTTTTTCACTTTAATGTCTCTGATGGAAATTTTATGCCTCGGTCGTCCAGTAGGTTAGTTCTAGCGTTAATGATCGAATTATCGAACCGGCCAATTCCTTCTTTCCTCTCGAATCTAATAAAAATCTGTCTAATAAAAATTTCAGAGAGCGGGATCGTATCCCCTATCCACGAATACCTACGTAGAATTAAGCCAAAAGCAAAGAGAAAGAAAAAAAAAACGATAAACGTCTTACCTGTAAATTCACCGTTGCTGGTCGGCGTGTTCAGCATGTTCTGTGGCTGCGCGATGGACTGAAGGTTCGCCAGGGTGGTGGACACGACCTGGCCGTTGCTGAGCGCCAAGTTCACCATTTGATTATTCGTGACGTGACTGACGGGTATGGTCAGGATAGTTTGCGTAGCGATTCCTGGCAACCGAGGGGGCGAACAGAGAAAGAAAAGTTAATCCTCCAGCGGTGGGCTGAGCGTCGCGAGGTTAACAGCAACAGCCATAAAGGGCAAAGGAGGGGTGGGGGAGGGAGGTAGCTTGATAATTCTATCTGTGGCCTATCCCACCGTACGAACGTGTCTCGAATCAATAGATACTTCATTTCCATTATGAACGTAGTCCACGCGTCGTTGATCCAGGAAGGGTAGTAAAGTTATCAGAGTCTCATAGAGGGATTATTAGGCAACCCATAGGGCAGGTAACCTCGCAGGCCAGCGTAGTTGGCAAACTATTATCGTCATCTTAATAGTGGGTACAGGTACTGGCACTGGACTAGGCTGCGAGAAGGACGCCTAATCATACTTAGAATAGTTTCGGGATTACCTCCAGCTCCGCTAATCTGATTACCCTGTACACGCGCTTAATATGATTACTGATCATGAGTACGTACCCGTGTTGGTACCTATAGCTAAGCTAAGCAAATCTCGTATTCCGAACAGCCATAAAAGTTTCACGTTCTGAGGTAAGGTCAACTGACAATCCGATTAACGTTTAGTTCCGTTCCGTGATATTCGACGATAATACGTTCGACGTGGAAACGTGTACTTTTTATTTCCCAGCGTCGCCATCGTCGCCGGACTTTTTATTTCTCTCCGTCTCTTCTTACTTATGAAGAAAAAAAAGAAGAAAGAAAGAAAGAAAGAAAGAATCTCGTTCGGATTCTGCTTTTGAACTGTGTTGCCGATTGTCGAGAACGAGGGAATACTAAAGGGAATGCGTAACGTGTGGTTTACAAAGGGAACGTTTATCACGACGTGCAACGTTCCTCGCTTGTTGAGATTTCTAACAGATTTCTAACGTTGAGATCCCTGACATGGCGAGCATGATAATTTATACTCCGAGAGACAAATCGACGTTCGACGTCGAATCATCGATAACGTCGGCAAGATTAGCCGAATCGAAACGCCGACTTATGGTCGTGGAACGAGATTTACCGCTCGTGACCTTTTTCAAGATTCTTCAATTTCTCGGCGAAAATAGCCGGCGCATTGAAGGCCTGGCAGCAGCCTTACTTGCAAACTTATTCTTGAACGGGCATTCCGAAGTATCCAATGTTATTTGCGTTGCCAATGATCCGTATCCTCATGACCTACTACCTCGCGATTATAAAACATTCAGTCACTATTGCTTTCAATCGCTATTCCGATTTGTAAAATTATTCGCCGTGGCCGTAGCCCCTCGGGATCGCATCGCGATTCCCTCCCTCGGGAATATATATCTCCGGAGAAAATTGGCGCAAAAGTTCAATACGTCGAATGAGCGTCGCTAAGCAGAATCAACGGTACATATTTAATCGTCCTTACTCTATTTTCTGCATCGCTAAATCCCCGCCTTTTAACCGAGCCTCGCTATGGATCATATTCTTGAAGAGGAAAAAAAAAAAAAAAA